GGAGGAGGAGGTTGGTAGTGGTTGTGGTTGATGGTGGTCAGTGGTGGTGGGAGGAGGTTGGTAGTGGTTGTGGGTGGTAAGTGGTGGTGGGAGGAGGAGGTTGGTAGTGGTTGATGGTGGTCAGTGGTGGTGGGAGGAGGAGGTTGGTAGTGGTTGTAGTTGATGGTGGTCAGTGGTGGTGGGAGGAGGAGGGGGGGGAGGTTGGTAGTGGTTGATGGTGGTCAGTGGTGGTGGGAGGAGGAGGTTGGTAGTGGTTGTGGTTGATGGTGGTCAGTGGTGGTGGGAGGAGGTTGGTAGTGGTTGTGGGTGGTAAGTGGTGGTGGGAGGAGGAGGTTGGTAGTGGTTGATGGTGGTCAGTGGTGTTTGGAGGAGTGGGGGAGGTTGGTAGTGGTTGTGGTTGATGGTGGTTAGTGGTGGTGGAGAGGAGGTTGGTAGTGGTTGTGGTTGATGGTGGTAGTGTGGTGGGGGAGGAGGGGGAGGTTGGTAGTGGTTGTAGTTGATGGTGGTCAGTGGTGGTGGGAGGAGGAGTTGGTAGTGGTTGTGGTTGATGGTGGTCAGTGGTGATGGGAGGAGGAGGGGGGGAGGAGGTTGTAGTGGTTGTTGTGGTGATGGTGGTAGGAGAGAGGTTGGTAGTGGTTGATGGTGGTCAGTGGTGGGGGAGGAGGAGGTGGATTGTTGTGGTTGATGGGGTCAGTGGTGGTGGGAGGAGGTTGTAGTGGTTGTTGGTGGTCAGTGGTGTTTGGAGGAGGAGTGGGGGGGAGGTTGGTAGTGGTTGTGGTTGATGGTGGTCAGTGGTGGTGGAGGAGGAGGTTGGTATGGTTGATGGTGGTCAGTGGTGTTTGGAGGAGGAGTGGGGGGGAGGTTGGTAGTGGTTGTGGTTGATGGTGGTCAGTGGTGGTGGGAGGAGGAGGTTGGTAGTGGTTGTTGGTGGTCAGTGGTGGTGGGAGGAGGTTGGTAGTGGTTGATGGTGGTCAGTGGTGTTTGGAGGAGGAGTGGGGGGGGAGGTTGGTAGTGGTTGTGGTTGATGGTGGTTAGTGGTGGTGGGAGGAGGGGGAGGTTGGTAGTGGTTGTAGTTGATGGTGGTCAGTGGTGGTGGGAGGAGGAGGTTGGTAGTGGTTGTGGTTGATGGTGGTCAGTGGTGATGGGAGGAGGAGGGGGGGAGGAGGTTGGTAGTGGTTGTGGTTGATGGTGGTTAGTGGTGATGGGAGGAGGAGGTTGGTAGTGGTTGTTGGTGGTGAGTGGTGGTAGGAGGAGGAGGTTGGTAGTGGTTGTGGGTGGTCAGTGTTGGTGGGAGGAGGTTGGTAGTGGTTGTGGTTGATGGTGGTCAGTGGTGGTGGTGGTGGGAGGAGGTTGGTAGTGGTTGTGGTTGATGGTGGTCAGTGGTGGTGGTGGTAGGAGGAGGTTGGTAGTGGTTGTGGTTGGTGGTGGTCAGTGGTGGTGGTGGAGGTTGGTAGTGGTTGTGGTTGGTGGTGGTCAGTGGTGGTGGGAGGAGGTGGTTGTGGTTGATGGTTGCGTTCGAACAAAGGAACGCGCACGCTGAACCACACGGCACACGCGTGTCACCCGGCCACTCGTGGGCGATGTGAGCGAGTCTCATGTGTGTTGTATGTTGTGTGTGTTGTATGTTGTGTGTGCGTGTTGTATGTTGTGTGTTGTGTGGTGTTGTGTGTGCGTGTTGTATGTTGTGTGTTGTGTGGTGTTGTGTGTGTGTGTTGTATGTTGTGTGTGTGTGTTGTATGTTGTGTGTGTATTGTATGTTGTGTGCGTGTTGTGTGTGTTGTATGTTGTGTGTTGTATGTTGTGTGTGTTGTATGTTGTGTGTGTTGTGTGCGTGTTGTGTGTGTTTTGTATGTTGTGTGTGTGTTGTATGTTGTGTGTGTTGTATGTTGCGTGCGTGTTGTGTGTTGTATGTTGTGTGTGTGTTGTATGTTGTGTGTGTTGTATGTTGTGTATGTTGCGTGTGTGTTGTGCGCGTGTTGTGTTGTATGTGTGTTGTATGTTGTGTGTTGTATGTGGTGTGTGTTCTATTTGTGTGTTGTGTATGTTGTGTGTGTGCACACAACACGAAGACAAAGATCCCCTCCTGTAACAGACTGTTTGGGGGGGGCAAGTGGCTGTTTAGTGATCACCAATGAATGCCCCCCACTGTGGCACACGAGGGGGATGGGGGTGGCCATCGGCACCACTCCCGGCCGCCTTTGTCTCCCCAGTGGTGATTTTTTTTGTTACACTACACGGCGCGTCGTGTACTCATTTGAGGCCGAGTCGACCTAGCGGAGAGCCAGAACCGGTTCACACATCTCGCCACTTGTTAGTATTGCTCGGCCTTGAGCCGGAATCGCGCTCATTAAGACACATTAAGACGCACGAGGAATTTGCCGCTACATTAAAGGACCACATTCATGACACAAACATAACACATTCATGACACAAACATGACACAACATGACACAAACATGACACAACATGACACAAACATGACGTGTGGGTGTAAGTGTGCAAGACACGTGCCATAAGGCAGCTGCGCTCATTGACACACGCGTTAAACACATTTTACATATACACACACACGTATTATACAACATAAACACACACACGTATTATACAACATAAACACACACACACACGTATTATACAACATAAACACACAAGTATGCACGCAACGCGCCTGCCTGCAATATGCGACGCACACACAACCACCAACACTATCACCCCCCACCACAACCACCATCACCCCCCACTACAACCACTATCACCCCCCACCACAACCACTATCACCCCCCACCACAACCACCATCACCCCCCACTACAACCACTATCACCCCCCACTACAACCACTATCACCCCCCACCACAACCACTATCACCCCCCACCACAACCACCATCACCCCCACTACAACCCTATCTACAACCACTATCACCCCCCACTACAACCACTATCACCCCCCACTACAACCACTATCACCCCCCACCACAACCACTATCACCCCCCACTACAACCACCATCACCCCCCACCACAACCACTATCACCCCCCACTACAACCACTATCACCCCCCACAACAACCACTATCACCCCCCACTACAACCACTATCACCCCCCACAACAACCACTATCACCCCCCACTACAACCACTATCACCCCCCACAACAACCACTATCACCCCCCACTACAACCACTATCACCCCCCACTATCACCCCCCACTACAACCACTATCACCCCCCACTATCACCCCCCACCACAACCACTATCACCCCCCACTACAACCACTATCACCCCCCACAACAACCACTATCACCCCCCACTACAACCACTATCACCCCCCACAACAACCACTATCACCCCCCACTACAACCACTATCACCCCCCACTATCACCCCCCACTACAACCACTATCACCCCCCTATCACCCCCCCACTACAACCACTATCACCCCCACTACACCACTATCACCCCCCACAACAACCACTATCACCCCCCACTACAACCACTATCACCCCCCCACACACAAACCACTATCACCCCCACTACAACCACTTATCACCCCCCCACTATCACCCACTACCCCCCACTACAACCACTATCACACACCCCCACTACAACCACTATCACCCCCCCCCACTACAACCAGCTATCCCCCCCAACTACACCCTATCAACCTCCCACTAACAACCACCTATCCACCCCCACTAAGCAACCACTATCACACCCCCACTACAACACTATCACCCCCACTACACACACCTATCACCCCCCACTACAACCACTACACCCCCCACTACAACCACTATCACCCCCCCCACTACAACCACTATCACCCCCACTACAACCATGCACCCCCCACATCAACCACTATCACACCCCCCACTACAACCACTATCACCCCCCACATCAACCACTTCCATCAACCCCCCCCCCCACTACAAACCACTATCACCCCCCACTACAAAACCACTATCACCCCCACTACAACCACACAGCACCCCCACGACAACGCACTATCACCCCCCACTACAACCCACTATCACCCCCCACTACAACCACCATCACGCCCCCACTACAACCACATCACCCCCACTACAAGCCACTAGCACCCCCCACTACAACCACTCACACCCCCACTACAACCACTATCACCCCCCACTACAACCACTATCACCCCCCACTACAACCACTATCACCCCCCACTACACCACCATCACCCCCCACTACAACCACTATCACCCCCCACTACAATCCACTATCACCCCCCACTACAACCACTATCACCCCCCACTACAACCACTATCACCCCCCACTACAACCACTATCACCCCCCACTACAACCACCTATCACCCCCCACTACAGCCACTATCACCCCCCACTACAACCACTATCACCCCCCACTACAAGCCACTATCACCCCCCACTACAACACTATCACCCCCCACTACAACACCTATCACCCCCCACTACAACCACTATCACCCCCCACTACAACCACCATCACCCCCCACTACAACCACCATCACCCCCCACTACAACCACTATCACCCCACCACTACAACCACCATCACCCCCCACTACAACCACTATCACCCCCCACTACAAACCACTATCACCCCCCACTACAGCCACTATCACCCCCCACTACAACCACTATCACCCCCCACTACACACCTATCACCCCCCACTACAATCACTATCACCCCCCACTACAACCACCATATCACCCCCCCCACTACAACCACCATCACCCCCCACTACAGCCACTATCACCCCCCACTACAACCACTATCACCCCCCACTACAACCACTATCACCCCCCACTACAACCACCATCACCCCCCACTACAACCACTATCACCCCCCACTACAACCACTATCACCCCCCACTACAGCCACTATCACCCCCCACTACAACCACTATCACCCCCCACTACAATCACTATCACCCCCCACTACAATCACCTATCACCCCCCACTACAACCACTATCACCACCCATCCACCGCGTTACCTTCTCTAACGACGTCACCTCCGCCGTGTTGCTGTTGTTGTTGCTGTTGTTGCTGCTGTTGTTGCTGTTGTTGTTGCTGTTGTTGTTGCTGCTGCGTTCGTTTCGCAGCGGTCGCCCTGTGATGAGCGACTCCGCCGTTCGACTGCGGTGGTCAGCAACTACAGCGCTACTAAAGTACTTGTTGTTCGACAGCACCGAGTGCTTCTCTAAACTGTTGTCTACGATTGTTGTTGTCGGGTGATGTTGTTGTTGTTGTGTTTTTGTATTGTTCTGGTTGTGGTCACGCAGCTACGGTAGTTGTTGTTGTTGCCGCTGTTGTTGTTGTTGCTGGAGTTGGGTGGCGCGCGCGCGACTGCGCGTGCCGATCGCGGGAGTCATTGAGAGCCGAGTGTGCGCGCGGTGTGAGCCGAACACCCGCCTCCCTGCCCCCCCCACCACCTCCTCCTGCACCCCCCACCACTACCACCTCCTCCTCCTCCTCCTGCCTCACTCCATCCCTCCCTCCTACCTCCCCCCCACCACCTCCTCCTCCTGCACCCCCCACCACTACCACCTCCTCCTCCTGCCTCACTCCATCCCTCCCTCCTGCCTCCCTGCCCCCCCTCCCACCACCTCCTCCTCCTGCACCCCCCACCACTACCACCTCCTCCTCCTCCTGCCTCACTCCCTCCTGCCTCCCTGCTCCCCCCCCCACCACCTCCTCCTGCACCCCCACCACTACCACCTCCTCCTCCTGCACCCCCCACCACTACCACCTCCTCCTCCTCCTGCCTCACTCCCTCCTGCCTCCCTGCTCCCTCCCACCCCCACCACCTCCTCCTGCACCCCCCACCACTACCACCACCTCCTCCTCCTGCCTCACTCCATCCCTCCCTCCTGCCTCCCTGCTCCCCACCACCTCCTCCTGCACCCCCCACCACCATTACCACCTCCTCCTGCTTCACTCCATCCCTCCCTCCTGCCTCCCTGCTCCCCCCCCCCCACCACCTCCTCCTGCACTCCCCACCACTACCACCTTCTCCTCCTGCCTCACTCCATCCCTCCCTCCTACCTCCCTGCCCCCCCCCCCCCCCACCACCACCTCCTCCTGCACCCCCCACCACTACCACCTCCTCCTCCTGCCTCACTCCATCCCTCCTGCCTCCCTGCCCCTCCACCACCACCTCCTCCTCCTGCACCCCCCCACCACCACTACCACCTCCTCCTCCTGCCTCACTCCATCCCTCCCTCCTGCCTCCCTGCCCCCCCCCCACCACCACCTCCTCCTCCTGCACCCCCCACCACTACCACCTCCTCCTCCTGCCTCACTCCATCCCTCCTTCCTGCCTCCCTGCCCCCCCCCCCACCTCCTCCTGCACCCCCCACCACTACCACCTCCTCCTCCTGCCTCACTCCATCCCTCCCTCCTGCCTCCCTGCCCCCCCCACCACCACCTCCTCCTCCTGCACCCCCCACCACTACCACCTCCTCCTCCTGCCTCACTCCATCCCTCCCTCCTGCCTCCCTGCCCCCCCCCCCACCTCCTCCTGCACCCCCCACCACTACCACCTCCTCCTCCTGCCTCACTCCATCCCTCCCTCCTGTCCCATTCAATCCTCCTCCATCCCTCCTGTCTCCCCCCCACCACCTCCTCCTCCTGCACCCCCCCACCACTACCTCCTCCTCCTGCCTCACTCCATCCCTCCTGCCTCCCTGCCCCTCCACCACCACCTCCTCCTCCTGCACCCCCCCACCACCACTACCACCTCCTCCTCCTGCCTCACTCCATCCCTCCCTCCTGCCTCCCTGCCCCCCCCCCACCACCACCTCCTCCTCCTGCACCCCCCACCACTACCACCTCCTCCTCCTGCCTCACTCCATCCCTCCTTCCTGCCTCCCTGCCCCCCCCCCCCCACCTCCTCCTGCACCCCCCACCACTACCACCTCCTCCTCCTGCCTCACTCCATCCCTCCCTCCTGCCTCCCTGCCCCCCCCACCACCACCTCCTCCTCCTGCACCCCCCACCACTACCACCTCCTCCTCCTGCCTCACTCCATCCCTCCCTCCTGCCTCCCTGCCCCCCCCCCACCTCCTCCTGCACCCCCCACCACTACCACCTCCTCCTCCTGCCTCACTCCATCCCTCCCTCCTGTCCCATTCAATCCTCCTCCATCCCTCCTGTCTCCCCCCCACCACCTCCTCCTCCTGCACCCCCCCACCACTACCTCCTCCTCCTGCCTCACTCCCTCCTGCCCCACTCAATCCTCCATCCCTCCCTCCTGTCTTACTCCATCCTCCTAACTCCATCCCTGCTGCCTCATTCCTTCCTCCATTCCTCCCTCCTGCCCCACTCCATCCCTCCTGTCCCACTCCATCCTCCTCACTCCATCCCTCCTGCCCCATTCAATCCTCCATCCATCCCTCCCTCCCCACTCCATCCCTCCTGCCCCACTCCATCCTCCTCACTCCATCCCTGCTGCCTCATTCCTTCCTCCATTCCTCCCTCCTGCCCCACTCCATCCCTCCTGTCCCACTCCATCCTCCTCACTCCATCTCTCCTGCCCCATTCAATCCTCCATCCATCCCTCCCTCCCCACTAAACCCTCCTGCCCCACTCCATCCTCCTCACTCCATCCCTCCTGTCCCACTCCATCCTCCTCACTCCATTTCTCCTGCCCCACTCAATCCTCCATTCCTCCCTCCTGCCTCACTCCATCCCTGCCTCACTCCGTCCTTCCTCTTCCCTCCATCCCTCCTGCCCCAATCCTTCCTCAATCCATCTTTCCTCCTGGCGACCTGACTCCATCCCTTTCTCCCGCTCTCCTCCATCCCTCCCTCCTATATGACTCCATCCTTCCATTCCACGTGTTCAGTCATCGCTCGCTCCTGCCTGCCTAAATCTCATCCTCTTATCAACTCCCCAATACCAAAAAAACCCCGACGGCAATATTGATATATTTCTCTCACTTACACCCTGCCCCTCTTCATCCATCCCTCCATCCCTGTTTATATCCCTCATTCCATCCCTATCCATCTTTGACAAACGATCAAATCGCGTTGACGTCACTGCGGTCCAAATATCTCCTCCGTTGGAGCAATTGCATCACTGTAATGACAGCATGAATAGATGGGGGGTGGGGGGGTGTATGACCATACTTCACCACGCTTGTGAATGCTTGGTTGGTGAATGGGGATGGGCGGTGAAATCGCAGCAACGGTTCAGATATCCACTTTCCACGGATCCTCACCATCACCGGGAATTGAACTCATGTGGTCGGTTTCATAGTCCACTGAGCAAACCACTGTGCCTGCACCCCCCATATACAGACGCGTGCCACATGTGTACCGTTTACACAATGCACACTACATGCAGTGTATGGAACCATGTATTACATAATTTTAACTCGGATCACAGCGGTCTACTAAAAATAGAAAAAATGTATTGCGTCGAATGTATAGGATTGCGAGCATTTTCAAACCGTAGGTGTTATGGAGCCTTTTATTGCACACACGAAGGGAAATGTCTCAATAAGCTCTGACCTGGTTAGATTGACATTGAAATACCCTAGGGCATACCTCCTGTGCGTATTACAGGACTGTACACTCCATGCATAGGCTGTGTACTATATATAGTACGCTAATGTGTACGTGTTTATTTTTAAGTACAAAATATATCTCGAGCCTCAGACGGATATTGGTCCCACGTTCTCTGTACACGCTTGCTTACAGATGTTCCAATATGCTGCGTGTAGAATATAGAGACACAGATAAATACGTGTATGAGCATGATTCCATTCTCTGTATCCGTGTATAAATAAAACATGTGTTTTTTTGCATCAGCATATTTGCTTTCGAGACCAATATCAAGCAGCATTTGTTTAAGCAAGCAAAGTCTGGCCCGATTTCGACATTCTCATACCAATGCTGCCCGAGTACCCGAGCGTATGCTGTTGGCAAGAGCACTCCATCTAAAATATGCGACCTCGTCCAGTCACATGGAGTACAGTATAAAGAGTATATACTTAAACATATGACACTAGCTGTACCCGGCGTAACATACGCAGATTATAATTAAACATCCGTGCATACATTTTAACTCATTTTTGTAATCAAAGATTTCTCTGAAGACACAATTTGTCAATTTATTTTCCAACACAAAGTGAATCAAAGATCTGACTCTTGATAGATCGACATATAATTGTAAGCCAACTGAGTCGTGTGCAGACATCCTTATCCTTTTAAAATATATATATAGATATGACAATGGCATTTAGGTTGTTGGCTTAAACGTTATGGACCCTACGCGTGAATTTCGGGTCCACGCGCATGCAAAGCGACGCTTGCGCAAGGATAGCTGCTGTAATAGGAGATGATATAACAATAATGTAAGAGCGTGTGCTTTGGTCGTGAAAGGCAGTGACAGATGCGTGCGTCACTGCCTTTGCAATCCATTCAGAGTGACAACAAAGTGACGCTTATTTACTGTAGTACATGCTTTATGGCGTGCCTCCGTTTGTACATGCGGACACTTTAAACGTGACATACTCGCACAATAAGGGCAAATGTGTTTACGGTACAGGCAGCAGGTAGTAAAGTCGAAGTTACATACCAGGACATGTTGTACTGTTGCTGCAATACTATAGGAAGGGGCGAGGGGTGGGGTTGATGGGGAAATCAATAAACCAGAAACTCTACTCCCCATACACAACATAAAATTTCATGACAGTCAAAGTGAGCTATGCTGCGTGGTGGAACGAGTAAAGCCTGCTGCTTCGGCAAATCAAATGAAAGTACCTGTACAGTACTTCAACAAGAACAAAAAGTTATTTGCTGAAAGTAAGAGAGAGAAAAAACAACAACCTTTTGACCCAGACAACCTTTTTGACCCAGGCACCTTAAATGGTCAATATGAACCACAGCCAAATTGTGCAACACCATCCAGTTGTCTTCTTGGTTCTTTCGGTAAAGTCACGTAGAATGGAAATAATAAAATAATAAAAATAAAACATAATAAAATAATTTTCACGACGTTTCGGTCACAACGCAAGCAGCCGTCCTCAGGTGAAGAACAGGTCTATCGAGAAGACAGAGTCTGCAGACCTGTTCTTCACCTGAGGACGGCTGCTTGCGTTGTGGCCGAAACGTCGTGAGAATTATTTAATTGTTTTATTTTTATTATTTTATTAATTCCATTCTACGTGACTTTACCGAAAGAACCAAGAAGATGAATCCATGCAGTCACGAAAGCTTTAAATCGAAATTTAACCATCCAGTTGGGTGAAGCTTTTTGAATTTTTAGCACTCATCAGCATCACATTGTGAATTGCAACGTTGCACACGTGGCGCAAATGTAAGCTGTATGTTATCGGGAGCAAGTGGAGAAAAACAATTAACCACAGTGCCC